AAAATATTTATTAAGGAAATTATACAAATTTTTTTTTTCACAAAAACACAGTTTAGAAGCAATACACAAATTAAAAAATTTTTAAAATTTTATAAAATATTTCGTTATCATTCATAATTTTCTTAACAGTACTAAGACTATAAGCGAAATTAAAAATTTACGCTAACATTTTTAATATACTAAAATACTTCTCTCAAATTCAATATAATTGCAGCAACAATTATTATTTAAATACAATTCAGCTTATGCTTTCTAATTGCTGAATTGTACATTAATACATTAGTATTGTAATTTTGTAATAATGGTTTGTTGCTGGACAATTCAGCAATTACAATTTATATGCTGCATTTTGAATATTAACAAAAATATTGCAATAAAATTGAAAAATTTAGATTATATAAGGACTAATATATTGATTATCATATGAATAGTTTCGAGTAAATTATTTTAAGACTAAAAATGTATTAAGAAATTTGAAGTTGACAATTAAAATATTTGAGGGCTGCTTTGTAATTATAACCCAGTTCACAAATGCAAATCAGAAATTATCATTTTAACTGAATTCAGCAGTTCATTTCAAAGCTGAATTTGATTTAATTAAGATATGGCGAAATGTTTGGAAACTAAAATAAATTTTAATAATTTATTAATATTCAAAAGTTTTCAAAATACAAAAATTTTTATTGATGCGATATGAAAAATACCAAACAATTCAATTTGTACTTGAAATTATTATTATGCAACTTTTATTTTCTATCTAAAATTAATTAAGAAAAGACAAGAAAGAAAATTAATTTTTTTTTATTGCATCATTTAGATCAAAAGAAAAAAATTATGAATTAAATTTACATTTTAAATGAAATTTTCATAAAAAAATTTTTTAAATTATAAAAATTGAAATGCATAGCATCAAAAAGGCAATAAAATTCATAAATACAATTCGGTCGATTTTTTCAAAAATCTAAAAATAAAATATAATGGGATCTCTTTATATTTTGTAATTATTATTGTTGTTGTTATTGTTATTTTTGTTTTTATTACGATGAATTTAATGGTTTTTTGTGTTTTCTTGTATTTTGCATGCAAAATTTTAATCTAATTCTAAGTACCTATGTATTACATGAACACACATTTATCTCTTTGTATATAAAAATTATTTTTCACCATTCAATGTCAAATCAATCGTCAGACTTCATAATGATATTCTGGAGATGATTTTAATGTGCCGTTTCAATATCTATATCAAGTGCAAAATAAAATTATTTTTACATAATTTAATATTTACGTATTTTATTTGCTGGAAATTCTTACATAAATTCTTAAATTTTCATTTGATTTTTGTTATATTTTCTTCTGTAATTTTCAATAAAGTTGCCGATTGTATTAAAAATTTGGTAGTTGCAATAATTCTTTATTTAGTTCCCACTCTCTATTTTGAGATATCTATTTATATGCTTTTAAAATGTTCAATATAACAGTTTAATATAACAGTTTTTCTCTAAATTTTACTTATTTTTTTTAAAATAAATTAATTAAATTTTTGTGTTATTATTTTTTATACTCTACAATCAAAATCCTCTCACTTATAAATGTCGTGTATAGTTTGAGTTTCTCTTTAAATCAAATTTACTCTTATATTCACTCTCACATTGATTATAATTATTATTTCCCTGAGATTGTGATTATTATTTCCTCTCTTAAGCAGAATTCTTGCATTCAATTAGTTTTTGATTAAATACCAAAATTTCTCTAATTTCTGTAAGATTTTTCTCTCGGCGAATTCAAATTAGACTTTTACACGGAATTGTACTAGTCGTTCTTTTCTTAAAATATATGAAATTTAATTTAAATATCAAAAATTTTTCTGATTTTTTCTTACAAGGCAGTGAATTTCTGTATTTTTGCGAGAAATCAATTCAATCACTTAAAAATAAGCTTAAATTAATTCGCTTCAAATCGAAGCAACAAATTCAACATTTTTGAGTAATCAGACAGAGAGTTTTAGTAACTATCAATTACTTCTTTTTTTCCCTTTGTGAATTCATTGCAGGTAATTGTGTCTTGATCATACTAAGACCGGAAAAGCAAAATAATATAAGAATTAAAGAGCTTGGCAACTCAAATTCTGTTTATAATGCAAAAAAAAAAGTTTTTTTTTAATATCCAAAACATTGACGTAATTATTATAAAGGCTATAACGTCAGAATTTTATTAGCAGTAAAGTAACCAAACCTATAAACAAAAGCAAATAATTTTTTCCTTCTTAACATTTTTAAAAACAAAAAAGAAAAAATGAAATTTTTGCCTGGAAAAAATGGGAAATAAAAATTTTAACAACAAAAATAGAACATAAAAAGTAAAAATCAATGGGAAAAATATGAAAATTAATTTCTAAAAATGAACTTGTAAAAAAAAAAAGTAAGAAACAAGTTCATCCCAAGGCGGTACTTAAAAATTTTTGAATTTTACAAAAAAAGATTATTAAGATTTCTGATTTTTGTTTTTCTTTTTTATTGTTTTTGTTTCTTTTAGACATTTTGTTTATTATTTTAATTTCGCTATGTTTAACTCAAAATGAAATTTTTATACACATTTTGGTTTGGACTATATTTGAATTGAGTGTTTGAAAGGTTTTATTCACTGAAAATTTACAGAGTAATGCAAAAATTATATTGAAAAAAAATTAAAATAAAAATAATGTTGAATTTGCAAATTATTGAATTAAAAGTAAGAAAATATGTGTGAAATAATTGAAAGTATAAATTTTTGTAGAATAAATAAAGTTTTGAAAAAAAATTTAATTAATTAAAGTTGAAAAACTTTAATTTCACGTACGGATTTTGCGAACAGTTTTAATATACACTTCAGTCTGGTATATCAGTTTGCAATTGTTGAATTGTTTAACAAAATATTATTAATCCAATTTGTTTATCATCATAATCCTAACCAGAATAATTCACAATTTTGAAGCAATTCAGTGATTTTAAAAGTTGGTCGCGAAATTTTATTTTTTGTAAATAAGCATGTAAATCACCTAAAAGCTCTTTTATATACTGTTATATTTTTATAAAATAAATTCTTAATGAAATTAAGACTTGTAATACGAATATTCAAAATTATGAGCTTCTTTCAAAACCGACCCTATTATTGAGGTTAATAAACCCATAGAAAATAGTATTATTCTATTTCTGAGGATTTAAACCAAAAAAAATTAAAGCAATTAACGTCCAAGTTATATTTATTTTAGCTTCCTTTGACACTATAATTTACAAAAAATAATAATTATGTCCACATTCATGAAGTCATCTTCTTCAAATAGTGAGATCCAAATATTAATTTGATTTACATAATTAATAATCTTAGTATTTTCTCAGCATAACGTGAAATGGTTAAGTGATATCAATCTGATATTTGCAACTGGATCCCATATAATCTCCAAAATAATCAAGAAATGATAGCTATTTCAATCGGCTTCATGATTGTTAAAAGTTACGCTCGTCGTAAATATCGATTTGCAATCATACCTTTTGTGTTTAAAAAAAAAATTCACTCTGTACATTTCATTCATTCAAAAATTTTTCATTCTTTTGGCAAAAAACAAAAAAAAAAGGAAATAATAAATTTGTTTTTTTTCTTTAAAGAATTCAATTTTAATATTCAATTTTTATTTTAGAAAATTAAAGAATGAAAAGAAAATTTATTCGTCTTTTGCAGATTTTTCCTGTTTCTTTTTTGAAAACACAACGCGTTTTACTTATTATTGTGTAGGAACATATTCTTTGTTTGCTCAGACTTGTTTTCAAAATTTTGTAATTTTGAAAAATACGAAGAAAAATGAAATTAAAATAAAAAATTTAAAAGAATTTTTCATTCATTAAATTTTAGATAATAAATAAGTTTTTTTTTTTTGTGATAAAGTTTATTTTACATAAAAATTCTTTTCTTCACATGTTATACTTTTATTTAAAGCAGACATACTCGTACTTAGAATAGAAACGGCAACTCATTAAAATATTTAAATTTTTCGCACTTTTATTTTTAGTTTATCTTTTATTAATAGTTTATCACATCCTTTCCTATTAATTAGAATTTTTGAAATTACTTTAAAAATATCGAGAAAAAATTTAATTATTTTTTAGTAAATTTTCTATGTAGTTTTGAAATTTTGTTTACAAAATGTTATTCTTGCAAATTAAGATACAACAGTTGTTCACTGAAATTTCATGTGGGTGAAATTTCTTAAAAAAAAACTATATTTAGAGCATAATATCTGCAATTTTTAATTTTTATAAGTAAATCAAAAGATTTTATTTAATTAAGATTTTAATTAATTAATTATTATCATAAGGTGCTTAAGATTGGAATAATTTGCTTTATACAATTTAAATATTAAAATGACTGCTATTTATTGTAGTGTTATATTTTGTGTAGCATGGTTATTTACAATATACAGCTATGGTCAAAATAATAGAAACAGTTTTACATACGTTTTTAATTTCTTTTATATCTTTTGTAAATTATATTCGTATTAAATGCTATCTTTTGCAAAATTATTTTGCTATATTATGTTCTATTGTGAATATATTTATAGTCACTAAAAACTGTAATCTGCGGGAATTCACCATTTGAAAGTAAAAATACCGTATTTCATCTGGTCAAAATAATAGAAACACCCGACGAAGGTAGCTTTATTGATGAATAAAACTAATTTCTTTTTAAACTATATTTAAGCAAATATTGAACAATATTTAAATTATAATAATCAAATAATTTAATTTTTTGAAAAATGTTGCATAATTAGGGGTCGATCGAATCATTGTAGTGTTAAGGAAAAATAAATAATTAAAAACTTAAGAAACCAAGGAAAAACTGTAAAAGAAATTGCCACAATTATTGAACGTTCAGTACATTTAGTTTTTAACGTTTTAAAAAGTAATAAAAGTCCTGAAACATGAGGAAGAAAGCAATAAACAAGTGAAAAACTGAACAGAAAAATTGTAATGATATGTAAAAAAGACCCATTCAAATCTTCAAAAGCAATTTTAAAAGAATGTCAGGCTAATGTGATTGGTAGAACTATACGCGGAATATTGAACAACAATAATTTATTTGATCGCGAAGCTCGAAAAGTTCCTTATGTCAGTAAAAACAATATTAAACATAGAAAAACTTCTGCTAAAACTCATTCGGAGTGCAGTGGGCCAGAGGTGTAAAGAAGTGGCGCAATATCCTTTGTTCGGACGAAACAAAAATTAATTTATTTGGGCCAGATGTTCCTACCTTCGTTAGACGATCAACAAATACTGAATTAAACCCCAGGTTCACGCGCAAAACCGTAAAACATGGTGGCGGAAATAGAATGATTTGGGATTGTTACGAACAAAAATATTAGGTGTTTCTATTATTTTGACCATAGCTGTAATACAATATCAAACTGCCAAAGAGTGTACTAGTTACTTCGAAAACTAGAACTACAAAATGAAAATTTGATAAATACTACAACTATCAAGTTTCAACTTTAAAATCGCAAAATATTTTATATCACATAATTATATATACATATACTACGTATTCATGCGCAATTTCCCGGTAAAAAGGAATATTCATGTGCAATTTCCCGGTAAAAAGGTATTCCTGTGCAAAGTGTTACGGATCCTGTTTATTGAAGAATATTTTATTTTACAAGGTAAACGCATACAAAGTATACAAAAATTGTATTATAATGCATTCTTCTAAATTTCATTCAAACGAACTCTGCACGATTTCTATAATACAATAAGAGAAATTTTCATCCGAAAATCGGGATATCAATAAAAACGGTGCAATTCCAGTAGAAAGGTGTAACTTGAAATTTTCTTTTCTAAAATTATATAGTCATTATATAGTATAATTTAGCTAAAACGACAACGATTGTATAGTAATCTTAATCATATAATTAATCTAATATTCTACATGTTATTCAATATTAAATTTAACGTACTTAAAAATAATTTATAATTACGCACTGTGGTATCCACATATTAAGTATATCAAAAATATTCAAAATATCCTTAGGAAATAATCCCATAATTAGATTTATTTATTTTTTTGTTGTTCTGCCCCAAATTTTTTTTTATATCCAAATTATATTAATTTTTCTTCAACATATATAGACAAGTGAACATTATTAATCAATATTTACATAGTATATAAGTATAAAATAAATATAATATTAATTCATTACTCTTAAAATATATAACATTTTATGCATAGACATAATATACATATGTAGCACAGACAATAATGTGTCGTATCTGTTCTCAAAATAAAATTCGTGGAAAACCTAATTTTCATATACTCTATATGAAATATAGCCTTCATAACCTAATAATAATAATAATAGTAATAATTTTTATTAGGTTACTAAACTTTCTAGCTATCTCAAGTGATTATGTCAGATTTTTCACTTCTTATGTAAATATTATTTAAATGAAAATAAAATTACAATTTTTTGTTATATTAAATAGATCCGCACTTCCTTGATTCAAATACAAAATTTTCAATATATCGCGCATTAAAAATAACAAGAGGGTAAGCTTGTTGTATATACGTATAGGTTTTACGCAAATTAGATAACAATATTATTGATGAAATCATATCTAATAAATTCCAAAAAAAAAAATAATATTATAATTACATTAATAAATAAAAGAAATAAAAAAACAACAACAAAAACTAGTTTAGTTGATAACAAACTTTTTTTTTTATTTTATTTTACGCATTTTATTTATTTCTCGCTTCTTTTACTTAAAAACTAAATTGATTTCCTTATTACTAGATTTTATAGAAAGCGAAAATTAAATAGAAAAACCATTATAATGACCTGAAAGGTATCTATACCATTAAGGAGAGAAAAAATAGAAAAAAAAATTGAACGATTTTTAAAATCTAAAATGTTTCGTTTTTTTTTTGTAAAGCAAATAAATTACAAATTTACATAAAACCAACTATAAATACTTTTTGCACATATTTTCGTTACATACATGTGTATATATATATATATGTACATATTTACAATGTATTTTATTTTTTTGTTTAGTTTCCTCTTATATTTAGACTTTCGATAACAAAAAAACAACTCTTTTTTTTTTTCTTTTTAATAGAATTATGCAAATTTTAATCCGAGTACAACACTAGATATAAAAACATTTTTGGGCTTGAAAATGCTTACAAATATCTATAATAGTGGTACATAGCGCGTATCAAAAATTCTGAAATTAATTAAATAAATTGATGACAAACTTGATGATTTTACTAATACTTATACTTTGCTTATGTGGCAGCTGGAATACTTTACTTGAAATCATCTCGAAACTCACTCAGTCAAGCTGTGTTTTTATGATGTCAGCTTGAGATTCCGAAAATTACATTTAACTATTTATATTTCAAGTTATTATTAAAATTTCAAGTCAAGTAAGTAAAATTTGTTAATTAATTAACTTGAGTGAATTGCGGCTCCAAGTCAAGTAATGTTTTTGTGGACATATGGCTTCAAGTACGCTTGATGGTGCCATATAAACGGGATAACAGTTGAGATTGACTACAAGTCAATTAAAATTAATAATTGTGTAAAAAAAATTAATAAATAAATTTTAGTGTTACCGTAGTTGTAAAATTTTAATGTTTTTTAATCATTTTCGATTTATTTCTTTTTAAAATTTGTAAGAAATAATTAATTTATAAAATATAGGGAGAAAATATATTTTACAATTATAAGTAAAATCAATCTTTTCCGTCACAATTAATTAATTTAGAAAATTAGAAAAGTAAGGTTCTTTCTTGGAATCACATTTGATTTTCTCACATCATAATATTTTGATTCCACACTATCTGATTCGAATGCAAGAGAAAAGTTCAATTTTAAATCTAAAAGAACATATTAATATAATTTATGTATAAACTTATTAAACACACTGCGTAAATCTATTAAAAAACTATGCGTACATACACATACATACTCGTACATATGTATATAATAAATTTCATTCCAATCTAAAAACAAAATATGTAAAAAATTAAAAAAAAAAAAAAAACAAGAAGTCAATACTTTTTTTTTTAATCAATTCCTTGTCAAAATAAATTGCTACCGATTTGTTATGATTAAAATTAAACTTTTAAATTAAAAAACAAAAAAAAACAAAAATAAAAATAAAAGAATAAAGTGAAATATTTTAAAAATTAGATAATAAAATAAATATGGTGTCAAAAAACAAAAAAATTAAAATAAATTTATAGAAGTTTAATAATTTATATTTGATCAATACAATTCTAAGATTTTCAAAACAATTTGGTGTATAACTATAAATCATAAATTTGAATTGCATATTATAGAACAAAATTTCAATTCTCTGATTTCAAAGTATTTGGAAAGGTACTGCACTTTTCAAAGTATTTGAAAAGGTACTGCACTTTTAACTCGATTTGAATATACTGCGGAATATTTGACGGGATTTTCAGTAATTTTTTTATTCAAATATTTTATTTGTTATTTCAATATTATAATATTGAAATGCCTCATCTTTTTCAATCATAATTTATCTACATTGACATTTCCAAATTTTTGCTTCTGAAATGAATAAAACTAAAATTGTAAAATGAAAAATTAAAGAAATTGTAAACATTGTTAATATAAGGCTTAATATTCGTTGCGCCTTAAGATATGCAAATTTTCATTAATTATTTTTAAAAGTTTTCATGAACTTAGCCTTCACATCAGATTTTTGAAATGATTTATAGATTTTGCAATTATTCCTACGTTAAATTCTAATATTTTATACTAAAATAAGTGCTTATTTCATAGAGAAATTATGTGAATCGCAAAATTACTCAAATATTGTTGAGTAGCACTTTGAAAGAATTATTGTGGAACTGAACTGAAAAAAATATTTCTTATTAATCGTACTAAAAATATTTTTTAATTTGTACTAAAAATAACTAACTATTAAAAATTTTCCCTTTTAATAAATCAAAATCTGTATATATACAAAAATTATGCGTGTGTATAAAACGAAATAAGAAATTTATAATAAAACTTTCCTTATACAACAATTATTTTAAAAATAATTCTTTCTCATTTCATTTAAAGTACAAGAAATTAATGATTTTCCTTTCAAATTCATAATAAAATAAATCGTATTATTATTTTTTTTTTCTTTTCTATATCATCGTCATAATAACAACGTTTTACAAATTCACATATACATACATGCATACATTTAACATTTATATTTTTTTAATAATAAAATCATTTTTTAAAATAATTTTTTTTTTTTTTTGTTTTGTTTTAATCACAAATAGTAATGAGATATTTTATAACTACCATAAATAACCATTATTATAAAATTATGTATAAAACGCAATATATACACTACAAATCAATTGGAATGAAAGAAAAAAAAAATAAAATAATAAATAAAATAAAAGAAAGAACAAAAAATTTAAGACAAATGGACGGACTTATGTCGACTCTTTAACTATAAAATGAGTTAAAAACAAAAACAAGTAATAATAAAAAAATTAAAATAACAATAACAACACACAATATAACAAAAACATCTGATTACCATAGTCGAAAGTGAATTTTAATGTTTTATTTATCAGAACTTGCTTTTATCACGTCAAGAAAACCAAACAACAATCGTCGAAATATAAAAAGAAGAAGGAAAAAAAACAGAAAAAAAAAGCAGTGAAGTGATCAAATATAAACTCATTTCGCCCATTTTATATTCATTCACTATGAGTAGACTAAAATAAAAAAAAAAATAAAAAAAAAGTGAGAGACACTGTTCAAAAAAATAAAATATAATTGTGATTTTCATCTCATTATCTTGCAAATGCGTTTTATTCAAACGATAGTTTTTTCAACATTTTTTATTATTTTTTTTTTTTTTAGTATTGCATTCATTTTAGTTATTTTTCATATTGTTTTGCACACTCTGTTTACATAAATTGTAATCGTGCAAATGTTATTTTTACGCAGATAATTTTTTTTTTTGCGGTAATGAGCTGCTTGCCATACACAATATAAATATAATAGAAATGTAACGGAATCCGTTAACTTTATAGAAAAATGAAAAGAAATAGTAAATATGAAAAAATAGAAAATCAAATTTAAATAAAATAAGGCACTTGAACAATTATAATCGTGTATGAATTTTTTTATTTACATATATATATATACAAACTTAGTTTACCTTGTAAAAAGTGTAAAAATGTTAAAGATAACATTCATAAAATAGGAGTAAAATTATGGAATCGTACAATATGTAGACAAAATAAAAAAAAAAAAACATAAAAATAAATTGTATGACATTTTACTTACTTATCTGTACAAAACCAAAAAAAAAAAAAAAGGTACATTTGTAAATTTTCTAATTTTATATAAGTATGTATGTATGTGTATTCTATTTGGTTTTAAGTCGATTTACTACTATTAAGAAAGTTTTGAGTAATTGTATTTGTATTATTAATTAGAATGGCGTTTATAATACAAATAATACAATTTATACAACATGGAGCGACACCTTTTAATTGGGATTCAAAAATCATTAACTTTAATAATAAAGTTAATGTTAGTTAATGCTTAATAATGATTAATTTTACTCACAATTTTAGGTTAAATTAAATTCATTTCACAGATTATTTCTAAAAAAAAAAAACTAAATTTTGTGGGATTAATTTATAAAAATCAAAGAAAATAAAAATAAAAGTGAACAGTGTTTGTTTTTCCTAAATCACCTCATATAGAAAATTAGAAATAATAAAAACTCTCTATTATAATAATTCTAACCCAAAATCTATAGTTACGAGTATGTATCAAATGCTATAAAAATTCGTATATGAAAAATTTTAATAAGTTTTCTTTAGTTCCATAATGCAGTAAAATAATAAATTTTTAAATATCGACTTCAGTTTGATCATAAATTGAAGAATTTAGTTTAAATATAATAATGTAAGTACTTAAAAATTTCTCGATTGAATTTAAAAGTAGTATTATTATATTAATAAATACATTATAGAACTTGATATTTATTTAATGTTCTCAGTACTTCATATACTTTTCTTGCAAGTATTTTATGCTTTTCCGATATACGAGTCATATGGATTCAAAATTAATTACTATTTCTTGTTATGTGGGAAATATAAGACCTCATGTTTTAAAAGTATCATCAAAGCAAGTCCATGCACAATGTCTGAATTATGCCGAATATATATACCTTAAAGAATTTAAAATTATATTAAAGTAATTATAACTTTACGGTAAAATCTCAATCATACTAAACAAAATCAAGTATTAGCGTTGCATTTATTTATTATTATTTTAAATTATTTACATTTGCATTGTATACTGGTTTATTTAAATTTTTCTATTATTATAATAATATTATACTGTTAAACTTTTATAATATCTCTTTTTCTTTTGATAGGTTGTCATTTAACTCTTTTTTTGTGGTCAAATTTTAATGATGTTATTATTACATGTACTCACTTTTTCTTTTATTAAAGAGTAAGTGTAATATGTTGACAACTTGCAATAAGATTATCTTAATTTATAATAATGTATATATATATAAGTTGATATACATATAAAATATAAATATAATACTGTTACTATATTGCCTGCCATCTTTTATTATAAATACAAAAATGATTATAATGCTCTCTATACAATATGTATAGTTTGCTTGATATAGTCGTTCTGTTGTCGCTATTGTCGTCACAGAAATTCCAAATTCTGAGAGAGTAAAATGCATTGGATACTTATGGTGCATTGTTTTCCTTTTTTTTTACATAAAAGATTGTTGTTTGATTTTTTTGTGCGTTATTTCTTTTTGTGTTTTTACTTTATTTGATATTGAAATGGAAATTGGAATGAATTTTACTCTTTTTTTTTTTTTAGTATTATTAAAATATGTCCAATAACAGCATATGTATATGTACATAAATATTTTGTGTATATCATACGTGTATATTTTTTAGGCCGTCTCTTTATGGAATTGAATTTGACCTGATTTGGCATTGAAATGTGAAGCACCTATGAATGAATGAATAATATTCACTTTTTCTTATAAGTATATACTTATATACTCCAAATAAATATAAGTATGTAATATCATTAAGTATACAAATAAAACATAAGAAAAAAATTGGAAAAAAGAAGGAAAAAAGTGAATTGAAATTGCGTTTGAAACAACACTTTCACTATTTCTCATGTACAAATACACAATATAAAGTTAAGTATGTGCGTTTGTATCCATCATTGATGGGAAAAAATGTGGTTTTCTTAATCAGATGAAATGATGAAAATGTGTTACTGCTCTTTTTTTTTTTCTTGTATTTTTTTTTTTTATTATTTCAAAACATCGTTGATTATGTTTGTTATTTTGCTTCGCCTCATCGTTGTATATTTTAATTTGATTAAACACATGAGTACTTGTTTTATTAAATTGTAGAATTTACATTGATTAAATGTTAAGATATATTGGTATTTTTCTTATTTGAACAACAAAAAGGAGTAGGATGTTATTCTGGAAAAAAAAAGAAAATTTTCGGTACAAATTTTTCTTTTTATTTTATTTCTGATTCTCGTTTTTAAATATTTGACAACACCAACGAAATTTCAGTATTATTAATGAAAATAATCGATAAAAAGGATATTCGATATTCAAAAAAAATATTGTTATACATTGAACCTTTTCTTTTATATTAAATTTTTATTTTATTTCAAAATTTTTATCCTGCATTTGTTTGTGCTTTTTTTCTGTCTTCTGGTAAATAAGCAAAAAAATGAAATTTACTTATTCACCATATGCATGTGGTGATTAAATTTTTTCTGTAATGCCTATGTGTATTTTAAATTTTATATGCAGATTAACAGAGTGTATTAAAAATGATGCCACATGAAATGATTTATTTCTTATTTTGTTTTTTTTTTTACTGCATTTTATAGAACACATGCAAATATGCAATCGGAACACAAAAGATTTAAAAGATTGCTACCATTATGTGTGTTTTTTTTTTTCAATTTTTGTTTTCAGCTTTATGGAAATAACCAAATAATATACAAAATAAATTTTATTGACATTCAAGTTATATATTGTCAATGTACACGTTGTTAAAGGATAATAATAAAAATATAATTTTAAATTTGTATATTAAAACTTTTTTAGCACACAGTTTGATCCAAAAATCCCTAAAACTAAATTTAAAAATTTATTTCAAATTTGGTTGAGCATTTAATTTATTACTATGATTTCCACGAAAGAGCCGAACGTACACAATCGACTTACAAACTGTTCTTAACTTCTTCGGAATGGTTAGGAAATGCTTAAGTGGCATGAAACCATATTGAGTTTTGCCAATGTATTATGATTATTCAAGGATAATATCAAAATATTTACAATTTTTGGGAACGTAATCAGTAATTTTATAAAAATGAGTTTAGTACAGGCCCTTGTGAATTTTTTACGAAACTTTTTGTTCCTTATGAAATACCTTTTAATTGATCAATGCCAAATCTTAATCAAAAAGTACATACTAATCATTTTTAGAATTTATGTACTACACATTTCCAGAAAATTCCACTTTGTACCTAACATACACATACGAACAATAAAAGTCTAACCAAAAAACAAAATTTGTTTTGAATGAAATTAACCCTATATAAAATTAATATTTTTTATACCACACTTTGTGATATTATGCATATTATAAAAGTTCATTTCACTAAAGTAAAAAAAAAACTGCACTGTGAATGAATGCTGTGAGTGCTGTTTTCTCAAATGCACTGTGAAAAGAACTGCACTGTGAATATCGATGTCATACACCATAAATTTGAGTATCAATGTACATAATTGTATTTTTGAAGGAAAAATTAAATTATGGCACGCATATTTTTTTAACCAAAAAAAAAATAAAATTCTCATGTTTTTCACATTTCAAGATCAATGATATTGTCCAGGATATAATTTATTCACAATATTTTTTTTTCAATTCTATTGTCATAATATTAAATATTTTAAAATATTCCTCATGTTGATTATTGTGTCAGCGAAAGTTATGTAGTAAAAAGGAGTGTAAACAAATTGAATTGTGCACGCTAGGATTGTGTAAGCAAAAACAAAAGATTAAAGTGTACGATATTCCAATTAAATTTACTTTAAACCAAATTCAATACACTTTAAAGTATTTATTATATAAATTTGTAGCACAATTTATAAAGTCTTGTCAATTTAAATCAAATCTGTTTCCTTTAAAATTTAATATTTATTGTTAAGCAGAAAAATATATTTTTGAGATTTTTAAGTTGGTATTTTTTGTATAGGAACAAATATATGATTTCCCTCGTTACAATGGCTGTTCTATTGAAAATTTACAACAAAATTCTATTCTATTGACTATTTTTGAATTTTATACTAAAATAAATTTTATTTTTTGTTTAATTTTGCAGATGAAACAAAATTAAATCCAGGCTCCTGGGAAGATCCACTACCAATAACAAAATCTTCTAATGTCCATCATCAAACAATTACAACTGCACAATTACACAATTCATCTTTACGTCGTATAGATCCATTGAATACACGTGGTTCATATAATAGTGGATTACATCATTATCGTTATCAACATAATCAATTAATATTATCACATCATTTACATAGTAAACGTATTTTAAATAAAAGTCCATCTACGGCATCATCAATATTAACAGGTACTACTAATACTGGTAGCGGCGGAATATCAACATTACAACAAACTCAAACAATAACAACATCAACACCATCTTCTACAATATCTGTAACAACAACTGCCGCTCTGGGTGGTAATAATTTAATTGGGGTTGGTGGTGGTAATATTGGTGGTCTTACATTTGATAATCAACAATTATTAAAAATAGGAAAAAATCATAAAAAACTTGAACATACACCATCAGCCCGTACAGTAAATAGTTCAGACGGTAGTTGGTGTTCAGAACGTGACGAAAACGATATAACATCAGAAGACGACGATCTAATACACGAAGAAGACGAATTAGATCTTGATAATTTAAGTGATCGTAGTAGTACATTATCAGCAAAAGTAACAGCTGCAATTATCACAACGGCAGCCAACGCTCAACAATTACAACAGCAACAACAACATCATCATCAGCCACAACGGAACAGCCAATTACGTTCAACATTCAACAAAGCAAAACAGCATTTGTCCTTTGACAAATGGCGTACAAGTGTAGGCGGTGGCGGAAACAACAACATCAATCAAACCACCAACAGTGCCAATACCAGCCCAATACATCTTCAACAACAATTACAACAGCAGCAACAACAGCAACAGCAGCAACTAAAAAATCAAGATCAGCAACAACAGCAATCGCAACAACAACAACAGACATCATCACCCCATTCACAGAATTCTCCATTATTGACTGGAGATTGTGGTGGAAGTCCAAGCAGTACAAGCAGCAACAACAGTATACAAACAACAATGCCTACAGCTGCAACAACAACACATCATCCACATTCAGATACAACTACACCCGGTGAAACACCAGGTGGACGTCTATCGCGATGGTTTTCAATACGTAGAGGCTCAACACATCAATATGATATTGGTGGACGCGATGGTCGTCATTCTTCTTCATCAAATAATAGTGTAGATACAACTGATACGGTTTCATTATGTAATTTTCCAGGTACCAATGATAATAGACATAGTGAAAATATATCACCGAAAGGTACATTAAATTCATCAACATCATTAGGTGTGAAAATGCCTCAATTACCCGAGGTAAGTATTAACTTTTTTTTTTGTTTGGTAATATTCTTTACTTTATTTTAATGGAATTTGATTACAAATTGAATATGAATGCTATTCCAACTTCTTTTAAAATCATTTTTGCATTCACCCAAAATCATTACACTATTCGAACAGAGCATGTTCTTTTAATACAATTTTCTTTCTCATTATATTAATGGTATTTATAACACAATGTAAATATAAAAAAGTGCCTATAGTGTAAAATTTTAAATATATATGAATTCTTTTCTTAAAATAAATATTTTATACATATAATGTCTATTGATATTAAGACAACAAATCGTTTTTCTTATATAATGACTCAGTCGTATAATATTACATGTAATTTTCCTATGAATTAAACATGAAAAATCATAAAAATAATCCTTTTTTTTCTATTTGAATATCATCAATAATATTTATTTATAGCTAACCTTGTGAATTTACATTAGTACAAATATAATTTTATATATAAAATATTCATAACTCACAAAAGAGCTATAAATGTCCGATTTCAATGCCAAATCAACTATATATTATGAGTTTTTTTTTTCTTCTTCTTGCAACTAAACAACTATAATTTATAAAAGAAATTGACACGACACTTATAATATGTGTATTATATGTCATACACATAAGCATATCAGTATGAGTTGTTCACATATTTACATGTTGTGTATACATCCCGCTCTACTCCTTCTTATTTTAATATGATGATAGAATTCTTCAAGAACAAAACTGTTATATTAAAAACATATTGGTTAAATGGCATTGGCATATTTGTATTATAAATATAGAAAAACAACAATAACAATATTATAATAAGAAGAAAAGAATTATCACCATAATTTAAGAATGGGATCGTATCCTTTCCTGTCGCGGTTTCAATTCTTTATTCTTCATACATTTTTTACTCTTTTGTTTATTAAAGTGTCATTAATCATTGTATTGTCCGTATTGCACAAGAGTTTCTTTTTTGCTCTTTTTTTTTCAATTTATTGATATACATAAATATCAAAGCAAAAAAAAAATATTATTAGTTCCCATATTCAATATTCAATCCCTAATCTTATTCTTTAGAGGCAAAATTAAAATGGTGTTTTGTTTAAAAGATTTTGTTATTTTTATTTAATTTCATTATTCATTCTATTATTTTTAAATATAAATAATATACATTGTGAAGTATGTATGTAACATATTTGTTTTTTTATAATTTTAAAATATGTTTTCCCCCTCCATTATAAATATACATACATTTCTTTTTCTCAGAATGAGGATGACACAACTCATGGTTTTGATATAGATTTAATATTACCACCTGGTAGCCGTGCCAATGGAACAAATCGACCACACAACAGACTGATAACACCAACGCTACCACCAGCCCCTCCAGGTTTATCACAACAACAGCTTAAAAGACGACATATTGTTGCGGCTGTTGTACATAGTGAAAATTCATATGTTGCCACACTTCAACGTCTAGTCAATGTAAGTAGATACTAGTATACAAATAAATTAGCTCTGAATGGTATTTATATTAATTTTATTTGCAATAAAAACAAAGAATGGATTCGTTATATTAAATTCTTAGGATTCTCTTACAAAAACTATTATGCACAGTATAAGTAAATATATACAAATAATGTGTGGTATTTGTAATACAAAGAATTATATTACTCAATTATTATTTAAACCCGCATGTATATTGTTATGTGAATGGCAATACTCGCACGCATTTAATTAAACTACAACCACAAATTCAAAGCTGCGCATATTGATATTTGATGTGATTCTGCTGTATTTACAAAAATTTGTATTTTATAGGTGTCATAAATTTATAATGCGTATATATGTAAATGTATCTAAATGCTTTTAGTACAGAATTTTAAAAGATGAATAATTAGAAATTATGTGGAAATTATCGCGATAACCTTGAACTATTGTATTTTATTTTATTATAAACAAATCAAAATTTTCTTAAATAAATATACAATTTTCCTGTTATAAATAAATAAAAATTATGTTTGTATGTCTGCTAAGTAACACAAAAATTTCCTTTATAATTTTCAAATGATTAAAGAAAAGTTCATAATGTTCAATATTATTATTACGTAGCTCTTTATTAATAACCTTACTAAAACATTTTGTGTATAGATACAATTTAGAAATTTAAGGCAACAAAATGCCTTTTATTTTCTCCTTGTAATAAAGTCAAATAATTTCTACGCAGATAGAAATAATTTCAATTTCAATTAATTCAATGATTAAATTTAGTTATTTTGTAATTGAATAAATTTTGGTGAATAATGTGAATATACAGAATAGATGTTAACATAAAGTACTCAATTCTAATTTATTGTTTAAGGGAATGGAAGCGGGTTGTAGTATTTCGAAGAAATCTGAATAATTACGGTAAATTGTGAAATTTTACAACGAATTTAATGATAATATTCCACTTTATAACTATTTTCATCATAATGTAAAATACGAAAACCAACTTATGATCACTTACTTGTTTACAAAGTTGCCCTATATGAATACATATTTATAAATACCTAAACTTAAAGCAACTAGTTTTGGAATCCTATAAATCGCAATTATATAAAAAAGAATATAAAAATATTATTAGAATGAATTTTCACACGGTATATTTAAAGAAACAATCTGTTCTTTGAATTTTTTAAAAAATCCCCATTGAATAAATCATTAAAATCTATTCAGATTATTTCAATAAATCACAACTCATACATGTGAGAAACCTTTAAAAATTTACAAAAATTATGATTTAGCGAGAATTATTGAAATGCCAACATTACTCCGTCCATTTCTGTAATGATTTTATTCGCTAAATACCTTGACTATTCATAAATTTAAGATTTTCCCATACTATCAAATTTAATCCCACAATATGTATTTAAATAAATGTTAAGTATGAACATAAAAAAAAGAAAAATAATAAAATTTAATCCTTTTTTGTCATTTTTAAATAATCTTATATTTTTTGTTAAAAAACTTTTCAGAATTATAAAAAACCTCTTGAAGAAAGCAGTCCACCAATATTAAATAGTTCAAAAATTGCAACATTATTTCATCGTCTTCCGGAAATTTTACAAAGTCATAAATTATTCCGTATATCATTGGCTGATGCTGTACGAAATTGGGATCGTGATGAAAAATTAGGTGATGTATTTGTAACAGCATTTAGTAAACCACAAATATTAGAAATATATAGTGGTTTTATAAATAATTTCTCAGCTGCCATGGAATTAGCTAAAATGGAAGCAAAACGTAAATCAGCATTAGCTGATTTTTTTAAAGTTAAACAAATCAGTGCTCATGATCGTTTATCATTTTTTGGTTTAATGGTTAAACCAGTACAAAGATTTCCACAATTTATATTATTTTTACAAGATTTATTAAAATATACACCACAAGGACATCATGATCGTATGTCATTACAATTAGCATTAACACAATTAGAATCATTAGCTGAAATGTTAAATGAAAGAAAACGTGAAGCTGAACAATATCAAGCATTTAAAGAAATGCTTGGTCATATTAGTGGTACATTTAATACACGTTCATTAACATCATCTGATAATAATCGTCAAAGATATTTATTACGTGAGGATAATGTTACACAAATGGAATTTAATCAATCTGGTTTTATTGTTAAATCAAAACAAAGACGTTTATTATTATTAAATGATAAAGTAATATGTGTATCAGTTGCACCAAAACAATCACATGATTTTGGTGCTACAGAAAAATTATCATTTAAATGGATGTATCCTGTTACTGATGTTGAAATTGTTGATAATAGTACATCAGCAACATTATCAAGAATATTAACTGCTGGTAAGTATTTTCATTACTTCTTTATTATTAATTCTAAAATAAAAATTAAAACACATACAGAAAGTTTAACGCAATTTCATTCGATTTTAAATAATCTTTTCAAGAGTTACCGAATTATAAAAAGTAAAATTTGAATGACAGCAATATAGAATCTATCAAAATTCTCTTCACTGTGTTCTAATTGTTGCTCGTTTAAGCTTAGTTAATGACATATTAAAATATAAAAAAAAATTTAAAACAAACAATATATTGATTGACATTAGAAGAGAAATTGCAATTTAATTGTTGCAATATAAAATTGTTGCTCAATTGTTTTAGAATAAATTTATTAATTTGCGCTCACGTTTTTCGATTTTCTCGCGTGACATACATAATTTATACATTTTTTATTCAAGTTCTTGCGATTCTATTGTACATTTCATTTAATTATTATAGCTAATGTTTTCTTCAATATGAATCAATATAAAATTTTTCTTTTCATTTACATTTCAGAAGATCAAAGAATTTCTAATTACGTATAATGTTAAGATCAAAAATAAATCCTCAAATAAATGTACATATTTATAAATTCAAGTCATTTTGACATAAACTCTTAATAAATCCATGCTCAATTACAAAAAAACTCATACAATTATATTTCAACATTAAAAATATTCTTGCAATAAGATAGAAGTGAAAAATGCCAATTAAATTTATTTACAAAAAAAAATTTTTTTTAATATTCGTACAAACGACAATTATATATTTGTACAGTTATTAAAAACGTGTGTCAACTTTAATGATGATTATCGTTATCGTTAAAAATACAATATAAAAACAAAGAAAATAAAAACGACATAGAAAAAATATCTCTTTGTCTCTTTTTATTTTACTGTCACTCTCTCTAGTGTTTTGTTATTCCGTACTCCTCTCTTCCTTGGTACATGTTTCATCTTAACTTCTCATACAATTATTATGTTTGATTTGGACTTTACTGGTTTACGTTTTTAAATTTAAGCGTATGTCGCCGTAATCATTTCAAATACTTAGAAAATATAAATAAAAATAAAAAAAAAACAAAAATGAAAATGTACTCACGTGCTTTTCTATTTTTTTTTTTAAGGAAATTTTCCTTTTCTTTTATTTTTTTCTTTTTCTCTTTTGTTGTTGTTTTCCTTATGATTTTCTTCATTTCATATTGAATGCTTTCTGTTTCTGTTTTTGGTACCAATTATCCATTCAGGTTGCCTTATTAAAATAAAAAAAAAAGAAGGAATAATAAAAATAAAAGCAAAAATATATAGAAAATTTTCAAAAAAAACAAAAAAGAAGGAAAAACAAAAAGAGAAATTTTAATAATTTTCATCAAATGTACATTATTTTCTTTTTCTTATACAATTTACATTTACATACATACAATTTATTTCAGAAACAACTAGACATTAGACAAATAAAATAATTCAAATTCATTAGAAGGAAAAACAATTTTTTCTATTTCTTTCTGTTGTTGTTGTTGTTATTTTTTAGTAAGAGATTTTGAAAACACGTGCTGATATTTTTCCTTTGTGTCTTTTTGATGAAATAAATTTTATTTCTGTATGTATAGTAAAGTAAAGTAGAAAAACTCCAGATTTATATCGAACATAAATATAGATATGTACATATTTATTAAATTACTGTACACAATTATTGTTTTACATTTTATTGCATACAGGGTTAAACCAAATATCTTAAAGCATTAAAAGAATCGAGCATGTGTCAATTAAATGAAGACCAATGTCTAAATTCAAAAATGTTAATTAAAACTTAAACAACATTGGAACTAAAATATTATCGTTTATTTTATTTGATTTAGAACTTCATTTCAAAATTCAATTTTTTTATATCTGCCCTAATTTTCGAAAAAATATGTGATACTCAGATTGCATTTATGAAAATTTCAGATATACAACAATTTTATAAAAAAAATAAAGGAAATTCCTGAAAGTACGATATTTAGTGAAGTAAATCATAATCACAATTTTAAGTCAATATAATCAAAATTTTAAAATACGTAGCTATAAATTCAAAGCGACGTAGTGATTTCTACAGTACAGTATTCATGGAATATAATACATAAATTAGAGCTTTAAAAATGACATGTAAGAAAAAAAGTGTAAGCAATTGATCAATAATTTAATAATAAAATCTTAAAATATTTCACAGTTTGACACTTTGATGTTAGCCAAAGTAACTGTTTGTAATATAGTTTCTGCTAAACAGAATGTGCCTAATCATAAATATATGCTTATTTTTATGCTCATTGCGTGTAAACTTTTTCAGAATTTATTAATAACCCTATGTAATCCTACACTTATTTGTATTATGTAAATAAAAATACGCAAAATTTATTTTATTGATGCAAAAAGAAAGAATAATATTATATTAATTTTTTTTTGTTATTTATTTAATTATGATTTATTCATAATATGCTGATTGAAATAAAAAAAATGTTGTATAGCTACAATAGTTCGGTACTCATTTTCAATTAAGAAATTTTAAATATAAAAGAAAGAAATATCTTTATTCATTATATAATTGGGAAAATTGCATTTTTATCACAATATTATATACAAAGTATACAGAATACAAAACAATTGAATTCAAATGTATGATTATTATCAACAACATAAATTAGTTTTCATACATTGTATGAAAGCACATACAATATGAATGAATGGATAAATGAAAGCATATTGACATTTAGATTAAAAAAAATATAAACATTGCATTTTAATAATTCTCTTACATCATATAAATTAATTAATTACTTAATATCAAAAAAAAAAATAGGAAGTTTTCTAGTAACATTTTGTGGCAAAGGATGGTGCTGATGACTTTTTACTGTTTTATTATTTTAAATTAATTATGCGTGTTACGTACTCTTATAACAACATCACCCTTTGATATAGTAGGTTACCACTAAATTCTAAGGCTATTCTCGCTAAGGCTATGACGGGAGGTCATACACGCTATGAGATCTTCTTATTATTGTTAAAAAAACATTAAATTTTTGATTATCAACTTAAATTTTTAAATGTTTAATCGGTTTTTCATTCTTGTTAAATCAACAATTAATTAACTATTATTTTATACTTGCACTCTTTTAAATTATTTGCGGATTATTGCAATAGAAAAAATTGAAAAATATTAAAATTATATTTCAAAATTTATAATCGTAATTTATTAAAAAATTTTTAATATAATAATTTCATATAAATATATTTGCAATAAAATATTATATGAAATTACTTATAGCGGAAAATTATTGTGAAAAAAAATTACTATAATAATTATAATTAAATAATAAAATAAAATAAATTGTTATTCATAACTGTATATTATTATTTTATAAATATAATTAATAACTATCATAAAAGTTATTGGTACATAATATAATAATAGTAATTATTTTTCTATAAAAAAAGTATTAAGTATTACCTTCATGCAACTATTATGCAACATATGTACATTTATATGGTTTGGTGTACTATTTATGGTACGCGTTCACATAAAATGTTTTAAAGAAATTTTCATGTTTTAATAAATTTAAACTTTCTTTAAAAATAAAAAATTAAACTATTTTTTATTGTTGAAATTTTGTTATTGTTTTATAATAAATTTAAGTCATTTTTTTATATTATATGTATATTAATATATTTCAACGTATGTGTATGTATAACTAGTAGTTATTGCTAACTCAATTATTTTCTTGACTCTTAATCTTACGATAATTCTTGTATTTCCCACAAACATTATACATTTACAATATACTTAAGCATAAATAGATTTTATATAAATTATAGATTTTAAAAAATCAAAATGTTTATTATTAATATAATAAAATAATAATAATAATTATTATTATTTTTATGAAAATTATGATATATGCAATTTGAATATATTTTTGACAAGTTACAGAAATATTGTAAAATCAATAAAAATGTTTATTGTCAAAATTTATAATTTTTAAAATTTATTATAATCATTTATTTTATTCAATGAACAAAATAAAAATAATTATTATTATTATTTTTACTTGCATTTTGAAAATCCTATGTTTTTTTTTTCAATTTCAAAACTCAAAGAAATTGAGTAATAAAATTTTAATATTAAAATTAAAAGTTGAAACAGAAAAAAACGAATACACATTTTAACATTATTAAATTATATACAGGATTCTACAAAAATGATTTCGCTCAAAAACACTTAATTTCAAACGCAATACCTAATATTAAAATATATGACAAATAGTAATAGCTTTGTAATTAGAATTAAAGTACAGAAATACAGATATGAATTGCATTAATTCGATTGCAATATAAAATAAAACTGTTCACAATTAAATATTTTCGAATTAAGGTAATTTTAAAAATTTAAATTCATTCTCTGGAGAATGTGTATATTTGTAGAACCTAATACAAATTGAATTTTGAAAATTTGCATAATATTTTTAATTAGCAGTTTGGTTCAAAAATGCTTTAATATGGCTTATTAATATTTTCTGCAAGTTTTGGCAGATTTCCGAAATTTTTTAAAAAAAGATAATTTTGTAAATTTTTTTTACACTTTGATTTAACCACTTTATAATAGTTCTATTTAATTTAAATGCTGTGAAATCACAGATTCAAATACGGATAACTTAAATTTTTTAAATATTTTAGTTTAAATATTAAGTGGTTCAAAACGATTTTCCCTTATAATTGCGAAATTAATGTTTCTAAAATGAAATAACAATTTTCATTATAATTGTAGAAGAAAAACCTAACTCATAACTTAAACTCATTTTATTTTTCTTAATTTTTTTCAAATTCTTCCATCTTATCCATATAGTCGCCATTTCTTCACTTAAATATATCTTCGTTTCCAGACTGTATATTATACTCTACATATTTTACGCATCTAACCAGTTGATAAAAAGTTAATTTATTAAATATTTCAACTTGTTAAAACTGATTATCATTTCGATTTACAAACGAATA